GTGTGTGTAGGTCCGACATGTTGGCCCTCAAGCCACGCATGTTCCATTGTAAAAACGTCAGTGGCATGCTTGTATGCTTGTATGTGGGGTGTACGGTTAAGATCCATCGGTACAGCTTACATCTGCTTTAAGCGTTCACCTAGGGTTTTGCACTAAACAAATCTCTCTGGCGACGCTCTACTTCAGTGGAGGTAAGCCGGACCCTTGGCCGAGCTTTGGGACTTCCACCCTCCGTAGGCGACGTCGGCCAAGGAGGCGCACGCTTTGTTGCACGACCCGCCACCGGGGACTGCAAGGTGGGCCGACCCGCAACCCCGTCCCCAGGTGGAGGAATGGGAGGCGGACCCATTGACCCTCCCGGCGAGTGGGGCGGAGTCGACAGCGGGAGCCGGCCCCCGTCCGCTGTGCAGACGCCGACCTGGCGGCGCGCCCTGCAGTGCCAAGGTCCAGAGAACCCGGATGAACAACAGTTTCAGAGGGGCGGCTCCGGGAGGGAGCCGCGGGAGCGACGACCGGGGGATGCCGAACCTTGTCCGGCTCCCGTGAGCCGGGGGGACCGGCGCTCCCGGCAGGGCCACTAGCTGGGGAGCCAGCGGGGGGCAGCTCTCGTAGCGCCCCTGTGCCAGCGACGACAGATCCCGTCGTAGCTGGTATGGATGAAGGGGAAGATGGAGCCCGGGAGGGCGTGTCTTCAGCACGGGCTGGGCCGGGGTGCGATGATGGGGGGCGAAGTCCACGACCTCGCTGGACCGTGGTCCATCCCTCGTTCCCGGGTCGCGACCCAGCCCCGGGCTCTCTGGCAGCTCCACCAGGGGGTTCCAGCCCCATAGGCTGAGCTTCTCTAGCGGAGGCCAATGCCGCAGGCGGATTCTTTTCCGGAGGACCCGACTTCCGGTACGACGGAACAGCAGAGCCAGTTGATACAAGTGTGCTTAGTATCAGCTGTGCAAACTCGCCTACAGCCATGCCCTTGAAATCATCAAGTCCACTCAGTTTCAGTACCTCGTTGGCTGCGGGTGTTACTTGGGCTAAATTTCTTGCCGGATTGGTAAGGGCGTCCTTGTATGTCCTTGTGGTGGTCGCATCGCTGTGTCGGCGTTGGGCCTTCCGAAGCGAGACTCCTTCCTTCACTTTGATGTTCAGGACAGCTTTCGCTAACAAGAAGGACTGACAGCTGCGATATGACGCCACGTGACCCTGACCACAGTTGACGCATTTCACGGTTTCTGATTTACACTCAGTGTTGGTGACCTATTTCCGCACACCTTCCGCATCTAACTTCTTTCCAGCACTTGTCCGTGAAGTGACCATACGTCTGGCATCGGTAGCATCGGACTGGATCCGGTACATAGACCCTAACAGGAACCGACTGATATCCCACGCGGACCCTATCTGGCACTCTCGCAGAGCAAAACGTCAGAATAATTGAATCAGTATCGGTCAGCTCTCCTCTCTCTCTCTCCTCTTGATACCTCTCACTGCCGTCACCCCTTCCTCACACAAGCCCTAAGCAACATCCTCATCACTGACACCGCGAAGGTCCCGGCAAGTAATCACACCCTTGGAGTAGTTCTTAGAGGGGTGAGGGTGCACCGATACGGGCACCCTAACCTCTCTCTGTCCTCGTACTTTGTACATAAGTGTGGTCGTTTTAAGCATGCGCTGGATTTCGCGGTCGTCTGTTAGATGCACTTCTATGCCTCCGTCCGCATACGAAAAGACATCCTTGGGTGTCCCGATCTTGGAACATGCTTGTTGGCGCTGAAATGGGTTTAGTCGGAGCGGTACTGTCCCTCCTTGGTCATCTACTTTGGCGGATCTTACGACCAGAAACTGGGGTAGTGGACGACGGTCGGGGTTTGGGGGGTTGGTTGATGATAAAGTGTCCATAAGTATGTGTTTATATTCGGCGCGCTGATTCCCCGCCCACCACTACGGGAGCCCAACACGGGGACGGTCCACTTCTAAGAGAGGAGCCGCCAGGGCTACCAGCACGCTATACGCAGGCCAGTGTGCCAAAAGAGTTGCCGCGAGAGCTACCGGGCATATGTCTGCGGGCGCCAGTGCCTCGGTTCGCAGGTGCTAACCATGCACCCTGGTGACAAGCCGAGGTACGGCCCCTTCATAATGTCAGGAGGCAGACATTGCACCCGGTAGCCCTCCCCTCAACACCCGTCACATGACCTGCTTGCCTCCAAGCCAGTGTCACGAAAACACGACGCCTGACTAGCCGATTTCCTCGTGTGGAGACTTCACGAGGCATCCGCAGGATCACAAATTCGGGCCAAAGCCACGTGTTTGTAAGCTGCCCCGACTGACCCGCAGGGCAACTCCCTCAGTGACCAGGATCCCTTCATCGCTACCTGCGGATCCAACGGCGTACGGCGAGACCCAGATAAGACTGAAAAGCTGGGGCCGAGCGGTTGCTAATCCCTACTCTGAACGAGTCAGAGCCCTTGCGGGAGGCACGTTTCGTCTGGCCCCTCCTCTTTGGCCGGAAGGGGCGCTTTACAAGCCTTCCCAACCGCCCGCAGGATTAGTGGGGCACGCAATCCCCCCCCACCACGGAAAGGTAGTGCCTCACGGGGGGGGGGGGGGTCCAGTGCATCCGCGAGGAACATTGTTCACATAAATAAGACAGTAGTAAAAGCCTTATTCCTCGGAAAAAAAAACAGGAGAATGGAGATGTAGGTGGGTTGATGTTTCGGCAACATGCCTATATCGAAACAACAGCAAACCTTTGCTATTGTATTCAAGCAAGTTTGCTATTGTTTCGATAAAAGCATGTCGCCGAATTATCGACCCATTTACAAACATATATATATATATATATATATATATATATATATATATATATATATATACATATATATATACATATATATATTATATATGTATATATATACATATATATATACACACATATATATATCTCTATCTATCTATCTATCTATATATATATATATATATATATATATATATATATATATATATATATATATATATCCATTCTCCTGTTATTCTTCCGGGAAAGAGGGCTGTCACTGTCTTATTTAAAAAAGGCGTGTTGCCAAAACATCGGAGCATTTATATATCCATTTTCTCGATTTTTCTCCGAGGAAGAGGACCTTATCTACGTGCATAACGCTCCTCGCAAATGTTGTTGATAATGTATGTAGTCCCGCATACCCGATCCAAAGTCGATGGAATTAGTTGCAATCCCAATGCCAATTTTCCAATTGTGTACGGAGCTATCACAAAGCTGTACGGTTTCGTGTATCATTCCGTTGTCGCACCAGCTTGAAAGATGCACTACGGGTTGCCTTCGTCGACAGCCATGGCCAAGGTGACTACTTACAAGCTGTCCACCGTCTTGTGACTAGCTACAGCGATCTTACAAGGTGTATCTACTTATTCATACCGACACCTACTGTTGCAACCCACTGCATAGCACGTATGGGTACAGCTTCTGGGAGCGGAAGGAGGACATGTCCCCTACTTTACCACCAAAAGGAGTTTTACCCCTTTTTGCCCCTATAAACGCATGTTTTTAACAACTTCCAATGCAAAACTTTAGCTTCTGGTCACGTCACCGCGTAGATTTCAGTGAATACGTAAAGGGTATGTGACGTATGCCGCGACAGCAGACGGTTCTGAACGGTTATTCCCTCATCGTGCAGGGATCCGACAACGGTACCTCATCGGTGCCCGAACTGACCACAGCAACGATGGTGGCAACTTGGGAGAATACAGTGGATTATGCTGGAGCATGACCCCCACGCTGACGTGAAAGCATAGCAGTTCTGGCGCGATGGCTCAGCCTCATACACCAAAAGCCTCGTGGGCTAGCGCACATGCAGCGGAAGTCCTGCACTTAATGGTACTCGCCAAGCCTCAAGATCACACTGCTACAACAAACACAGGATCTATTGGGGCATGTTGAGTACACTGCAGCGGTACATGACTGGTGAAAACGAGAGCGATGGTGATGATCTCCGAGCGGCCTCCTGCGCTGGACAATGCGCTCCAAACATTAGAGCAGCTTCTCAGCTTCACTTCCCGATCGGCGGCTGCTGGAGAATAACGCCAGTCCGTGGCCTTAACGCCGACGACCGGCTATGGACCACGGGGGAGGCACCTAGGCTAGGAGGCAGGACGGCACAAGCGGGACAGAGGCGAAGACGGCCGAAAACGGGCTACGCCAGGGAACCACTTTGAGATAGCATCGAGCAATCACGCGAAGTACCATACGAACATTCTGCCCACAGACGGCGTCGGGACGGCATGAGCTTTCGTCGCTAACAAGTAATGACTACACATTCTTCACGAACACGGCTATGCCTATCCGTGTCTGCAAGTCAAGCTGGGCTGAAAACCGCCAGCATGGCTGGGAGATGGCAGCCGTTTTTCTCGAACCAGCTGCGCCCGACTGTCGGCTGCTGGCCGAACGGTCCGGACCACGCCACAGTCACGGCACGCCAGACCCGCCAGCAGCGCCGCCAGTTGGCAGTACGGGCTGGGCGCACCGCCGCCAGCAGCGCCCGGCCTGACCTCCGCACACTCCGTTGCGCGGTCCGGCTAGGCGCCCCACCGCCAGCAACGCCCGGCCCAACCTCCATAAACTCGGCCGCGCTGTCCGGCTGGGTGCCCCGCCGCCAGCAGCGCCAGGCCCGACCTCCGCACACTCGGCGGGAACATCCGGCTGCGCGCCCCGCCGCCAGCAGCGCCAGGCCTGACCTCCGCACACTCGGCGGGAACATCCGGCTGCGCGCCCCGCCGCCAGCAGCGCCAGGCCCGACCTCCGCACACTCCGCGGGAACATCCGGCTAAGCGCCCCGCCGCCAGCAGCGCCCGGCCTGACCTCCGCACACTCGGCGGGAACATTCGGCTGGGCGCCCCGCCGCCAGCAGCGCCCGGCTCGACCTCCACACACTCGGCCGCGCCGTCCGGCTGGGCGGCGGGCTCGCTTCGGCACCAGGCTGGGTGTCGCGCGCAGGCGACCGCCGGCCGCGCCCGCTTCGCCGTCACGTCCTCAGCAGCGGCCTGCGTGCGCAACCGCCACCCGCCGCCGCACCGCGCTCCCCACGCCCTCCAGCGATGAGACCGACTCAGCGCCCGCCCCGGTGGGCCGCGCGCGGCACCAAGGCCGCTCACTTGTCCGTCAGTCCGGCCTCCTTCAGCCGGTTGTGGAAGTACTTCTCGAGGGTGACGCTGCAGCGGTAGTACTCGGTGTCTGGGTCGTTGTACATGCGGCAGTTTGTGAAGATGCGCGTGGCGTCGGCAATGAACAGCCGCTTGTTGCAGTAGTACTTGTTCTTCAACCGCTTCGACATCGTCTCCAGATCTGGGGACACAATCGAAGGTCAGACAAGATCGAATGTCAGATGTGCGTCTTGTAGCACACATCAAATTACACCGACAGACAAACAAAGAAAGAAATACGACTGGCACGCAAGATATATCAGCGTATCGTCGTGTTGAGGACCATTTTAACGCTACGAACGCGACACCTGAGTAACACCTCACGTACAACACGCGTGAAACCTTCACAAACATGCAACTCCAGACTGTAGCGTGTTTGATTACCCCAGTACCCGCCGCATCCCTGTCCCGTCCGCTTTGCTCTCACCCATCGGGTACTTGATGAACTCGTAGTAGTCGGGCACGTCGGTAGGGTCGACAGGCGAGAGGAACGGCCAGGCGGCGCTATGCTGGCGCATGTTCTGCAGCAGGGTGCGGAAGGTGCCCTGCAGTAGCTCGGCGTTACCCAGGTCGTCCGAATTGCGTGTGACGCGCGCAGACTTCTCCGGCGACTTCCAGCCGGCCTCCCGGATCCCTGCCGTCCCGGGCACGGTCCGGGTCAGGGTCAGAGCCAGGGTCAGGGTCAGGGTCAGAGCCAGGGTCAGGGTCAGGGTCAGCTCAGGTCGCCGTTTCCCTGTTATGACAGCGGCGCGGTCAAGGAGGGGAGGCGAACAAGGGTACGTGTTTGTGTAGCTGATTGGCGGATCAGATGATGGCCGCGACCAGAACGGGGAACCCAACATCGTTATGTGAGGTAACCCCAAAAGAAACTTCACGGCGAGATGGATGAGATAGCTTTTCGTCACGTTTGAAGCAAACACGTTTTCAAGATCGATTCGAAAAGTCATTGATGCCTCTTGCCTAGCGACGCATGTGATTGAGAGGTGTCAGCGAGCGTATGACAGGCGTACGCCGCGCCATGGGCCCTTAAAAACCTACTTATAGGCTGGAGTCGCGCCACCTGCACCTCTGGGGCGGCGGCGGCGGTGGGTTCGCCTCGTCCACACGGCCAGCGGCCAACACCACCAGCGGGAAGGAGACATCGGTCCCGCCGGCTGTCATCTGCCACCGTCAGCAGCGGTCGCCCTCCCCCGCTCGGTCCCGAACCCCGCGCGCCCGGCAGCGCGTGACCTCGAGCCACTGCGCAGCCGAGTCAATAAACCGACCGGCGCGGCAGGACGAGTGTTCAGACAATGACCTTCAGATGATAAACGGACGGCACGGAGTGCCCGGCGACGGCGGCAGGGGTGACTTGCAGTCTCCGCACGGCGCGGGCGCGAGCAGGCTGGCCACCACTGATCACGACCGCGGACGCCGCGACCGCGCCGGGCTCCCTCGGCAGCCGCCTCATCCAGCCGGCAACACCGCGCTGTGCCATGCCACTCTTCACGGCGGTCTTGGGTGAAGATGTGCGGATAAACGGCACGTCACCGGCTAATACTCCACGCACTGGACGAAGGCAGACCGGATCACTGGGCACGACGACTTGCGCCGCGTGAACGACCGCCCGGCGTCGTCATAACCCCCGCCCCCTCTTCCACCGCCCAGCCCGCGCCACCGGGGTTTGGCGGCTGCCCCGTACCTGGTATGCACTCGATCGGTATGCCCTGTACACCCTCCTTGAAGCACGTTAGGCCCGGGTGCACCTTGCGGATGGATGCCTGTCGGTTCTCGATCAGCCGCTTGATAATCTGCAACACGGAGCACCGACGCGCGGCGCCACGGTCAACACCTTTTGATAATCTTGGGCCACTGAAACGAGGCCAAAAATGGACACTTTCCGTTGGATTCGCGCGCGAAAGTAAAAGCATTGCCCACCAAGGCCCTTCATATGCTTATCCGTTCGGATAGAGCACACTGGAACGACGCACGGGACTGACCAGTATACGCTGACTCCGCTGATAGCGCAACTGCGGCAGCTGCCGCACATCTTGAAACCAATCGCGACCTCGCGTTACATCAGGCAACGTAGATATAAGGTCATTATCCAAGGCATGCGTCAAGGGTCGTGTTCCTTGATGTTCCGAAAGTGCAATGCTCGGGTTTGGTTTACCATGGGTTTGGGCCGAATTTCAGCCAAAGGGCTGAAAGTCCACCAGTCCTGACTGGGCAGTCTGTTGATCGTTGGCATGTTATAGGTCAAGTCATGTCAGTGTACTAGCATGATCTGATATGAATTTATGTAAACAGTCGTTCTCTAGCGATGCATGCATCCTAAAAATAACATGTTTACCATTTTAACCACTTTGAAACGATAATGTAGTCCGGGTGATGTTTGGGTGTAGCAAACAGGGATACATAAGGCCGTAAGGCTGACAGCATGCCAACGGAGCATCGCTGCCAGTATGAAGGTGGGGTCAAGTGAGGTTACGGGGTCCCGGCGAAACAGTTTCGGGGCCTAGGTGCGGTGATTTAGCTCGACTTGGGCGACCCTTTTGACCCAAGTCGCTCCCAGGTCAGCCGTTGGGCGACATCGGAACCAAAACAACATTGTTGCTTCATTAAAAGCGCAATATACCACTTCCAGCCGAATAATTCACTACAGCAAATCACTGGTATTCGCCGTGAAAACGATGACCCAGGTCTGGGAGGCCACAGGTGGTCCTAGTACCGTACTTTCTGCCCGAGACACAGAGAAAGACTTCAGTGGCATAGCTGTGGCGCTGTGTTGCGTGGTCCCGGTGCAGTGCCTAGAAGAGTCCCGATTGCTTATGACTTGATCTACCTTCGGGCCATTTTCGTGTCTTGGACGGAGATCCATTGACTGAAAAAGGCTACCAGCGGAGAGCTTATACAATCACTACGGCGGTGTTTACCACATGGTTTTACATCACTAATGTTTCCAAGCGGACTGCGGACCAATTCGGACCTCTATCCCAGCTGGGCGAGGCAGTTCGGAAACCCTGGCACGGCGCAGGGAGCAGGAGCAGGGAGCATTAACACCAGCTACGTGCGGCAGACGCCAGGACATCAGCCCTGCTACAGCTTGTTGGCGGCCGCAGTCCCGAGTAACTCCTCAGGGTGGCGGCCAGAGGCCTCCCGACGCCACCCACCTCCTTCTGCTTCCTGATGACGGAGCTGAACTGGCGGTAGATGATGCGGGGCGACAGCTCGCAGCCCATTAGCGTGGCGCCCTCGTAGTCCTTGATGTAGCCCACGTACTTCTTCCGGTTCAGCTTGATCTCCTTGCTGAAGCCCTGCTTCTTGAAGTAACCTGCCGGAGCGCAGCGACAGATCAACCGATCGGCACGTTTTCACATTCGCAGTGCGACGACTGCTAATGTGTGGAATGCATGGCCTACATAGCTGTTCCCTACACACACGCGCGCGCGCCAGGATACCATGACACTGAAATGATCATAACAAGACGCAACAACACTTCCACGCAACGCGGCTTATCATCACGCGTTTAAACTATCATCAGCGGCAGAAGGCGCGCAGCGTCATCACTGACTGGCGCCAGAGGGCGTTATTCAGGAGTGCCGCCGTCGGCGGACCCCGGCCCAATGAGAGACGTACCGACTGCGAACTCGTCGGCGAAGGTGAGGAAGTGGTGCACTCCGTGGCGGATGTGGTAGTCCTTCAGGTGGTTCATGAGGTGCGTGCCGTAGCCCTTGACCTGACGGACGGGCACGACACGTCAGGTCGAGCGAGGTCAAGGTTGTGACCGACAACTACGCGACTCGTGACATTTGTACCAAGTATGTGATATTTGAGCGCGATATGAGTACCAGATATATATCCCATATCTTGTTTGATTCTTTGATCAAATTCCTGGCTTAAATACACAAGTGTTTACGCAAAGCGCTGGATCACACTACATCCAACAAAAAGCGTCGAACTACACAGGCGCCGCACACCGGCCGCCAGAACGCACCTGCTCGTTGCTGGTGACGGCGCAGAACACGATCTCGGTGAAGCCCTGGCTGGGGAACATGCGGAAGCAGATGCCGCCAATCGGCCTGTTGTTCTTCACCAGCGCCAGCGTCCGGTGCTTCCTGCCGCCGGCCCGATGAGCATGTCTGTGTCAGGACGGCAGAGAGCGAGACACGGCCGGCGGCCTGTGCCACGAGACGGCGGACGGGGCCTCACGGCGGGAAGCTTGGGGAGCGGCGACGACCACACAGTCTGCTCGCGCAAACAACGCGCGGCTCTCGCAGCGTGAGTCTGTAAATCAGCAACTAAACGAAAACAAACGCGAAAAATATCCAGGCTGACACCGCATAACACATCCAGAGGAGAAGTGATGAGCACATCCACAAGAAATACGCGCAAGAAATACTGAAATGCCTCATCAGGGCGCAAGACCAAACACACAAACGGATAACAGCGCGCGGACAAAAACCACCCAGAGCCTCCCAGGTTTGCAGAGCGGCAACGGCGCAGCGGCCAGGCGCGGCCGGAACTCACGGGTCGAAGACAAGCCGCGTGATGTATTCCTTGGGCATGCGGGGCAGCTGGTGCGAGAAAACGTTCTGCAGGCCGACCAGCCACAGCATGGTGGTCTTGCTGACCTTCTGGCTGAGCGAGTTGCCGACCACGTGGAAGCTGATGTGGCCGGCGCGCTCCTCGGCCTTGGCCGCCTCGTCGCGGGCCGCGTTCTCCGAGAACAGCGACTGTGGAGAACAGACGGTCCCGTTCAGTCCCATGGCGCCGGCACGTCAGAAAACAATCCAACAAAGCCTCCAGCTGGTGTTACGCCCCGAAGCAAACATCGCACGCTCTGGGAACTCCAGCGCAAAGGCACTGGGTCATGTTTTTTTTCAGCAATGTGCGGGGATCCACAGTTGAGATGGTCATGACTAGGATCTAGCACATTCTGGCCTCCAGCATGCATTGGAAGCGAACCAATGACAGCGTCAGTTTCATGTATCATCCCGTGGCTGAACCTTTCGAACGTCTGCAACATCAATAGAAAGTTGCTTTCGACACCCCGTGGCGGGGCAGGCTGACCGTAGCTTGTCATCGCCTCTGCCAATACGACCCTCCCGGCCAGCGGTGAGGTCACATGGTTACGTCTGCACCCGGCACTACATAGCCCGAGAATTGGCTGTTTGGCTGTATGGATTAGAGGCCTTTCGATCAGAGATCATCATTTCAGGACTATGGATGAAGGAGAATGAATCACGTTGGGGCAGTGCTACACGCGCCTGGGGGCCAACCGCTGAGCTTTGGCCCGCGCAAAAGCCCCCGGAGTGAACGCTGGGCGCCCGGTCAGGGTCCCTCTTCCCAGGGGCCTCTCGGCCCACTCGTGGCTGGCGCATGCAGCCTGCTCCTGACAAGCGGGGCATCGCGAGGATCTGGTGGCAGGGATCCGCGGGGCCGGCTGGGAGTCATCGGATGACCAGGACGGCGGGCGGAGCTGCTTCCGGCATACATGTTACAACCAAGCAGGTATTGCGGACTTCAGCGGGGACTAATGGTGCGTCAATGCAGCTAGCTGACAATATCTTATGAATGAAACAATATCTTATGAAAGGAAATACAGTGTATGCATGTTTTCGTATCAATATGTCTGCATGAGAAACATCAAAGGATACCCATTTAGACCAAGCAGAATACAAATATTATTGAGCTCCTCGCGACCAACACCAGCCAGACTCCAAAAAATTGAACTATGCAAATTGTACGACTGAATGAAAGGAATGATAACACGCATTATTGGCAGGCACGGCACAACATACCAAAATCGTATCGGCCTTTCTACGACATGACGAAGGGTGAGTTACTCTTATCTCTCGGATTTGAACACAACTGGGTCACACAGGTACCCAATGGTGGTGAACAGTGCCTGTGGCATTATCAAGTACCTCAGTTCAAAGGTGCCCGATTGATACCCTCCGACGATTAATAGTCACGTTGTGTACGTGTGTTTTCGATAGTCATCTAATCCACTGTGACGAACGAAAAGCAGGAAGAAACAGGAGCAACAGGATTTAACAAACAGCAAGATTTAATGATTGCATTTCCACACATTCTCTTATAAATGATACCACACCAACATTGTTTAAATGCTGTACGTTTCCTGATTTTCCGTTCACAGATGAGTTTCCTGACGAAAACACACTAAATGCAACGTAACACAGAACCGCCACGGGCTACAAATCCGATCCGTTTGAAGGAAGCGAAATCCGCAAATTTCGACTCGGCAAAGAACGGACTACCACACTGGCAAAAGCGCGGCTTATGACGTGCGAGCGGCCCACGTGCGCTCGTTCAAAAACCACGGATCCGGCGTTTCTAGGCATTTTATAAGATTCACCCCAGATCCCGACGGATCATGCACATAACGCCATGGAACCAACTGCATGTTGTGGGCTCATGTGCCGCCTACAAACTACCCATGTCGCCCAGCACTGTCCGATCCGTAGGGACGCCAGCGATCGACCGTGAAGCGACCAATGTCGCGTTTTTTTTTCGAAACCGATCTCGAAACAACACACTGTCACCCACACCCAGCGAGAGGTAGACGTAAAAGAGACAATAGCTCGAAACGTGACCCGCCGCAACTTAGCGAATTTCGTCGAAAAAAAGGCCAGCCCATTCGGTGAACTGCCGCTGGCTATGGCTTGGTTATGCAGTCACGTGTTTCTGCATGACGGTCCTCCGCGCAGCAGATGTTTCGCAGACGCGTGACTGCGCACTGAGCAGCCGAGGGCGGCCACAACACGGGACAGAAATCATACGGCCCGGATAACAGCATGCAGTCGTGCTGCCACACAGATGCGTTCAGCACACCTGAACAGATCGGAAACGCTCCGCAAGCCTCAGCTGTAACACTTGACAGCCAAGTTCAGTGACCGTTTAAAAAGCCGAAGAAACAACCAAGGCACATAAGCTTCACAACATCAGCAAACAACAGTCGTCGATTGTTCAAACAGCCGCGCTGAACCCCAGTCAGCCGCTCTGGCTGCGGCCGCCGCCACTGGCCGCCACCGGTGACACCAGCTGGCACGTACCTCCTGGCCGGCCAGCCGTTTGGGGTCCTCCATGCTCTCGAGGATCTGTCGGACGAGGTCGGGGTCGACGTCCTCGTCGGGCCGGGGCCGCTTGACGGCGCGCTCCTCGTCGTCCTCGGCGGTGCGCTTCTCCGGCCGTCGGCGCGCCGCCGCCGGCTCCTCAGCAGCCGCCGCCGACGGGCCCGGTGACGGCTCCGGCCGCGCCTCTGCGGAACGATACGGGCTGGGGTCACCGGCTGGGGTCACCGACCAGAGTCACAGGCTGGGGTCACAGGCTGGGCTCACGGGCATGGATCACAGGCAGGGATCACGGGCTGGGGTCACGGGCAGGTATCACGGGCTGGGGTCACGGAGCAGGGATCACGGGCTGGGGTCACGGGCTGGGGTCACGAGCAGGGATCACGGGCTGGGGTCACGGGCTGGGGTTACGGGCAGGGATCACGGGCTGGGATCACGGGCTGGGATCACGGGCTGGGGTCACCAGCTGGGGACGCAGGGGATACAGCCCGGGGATGCAGCCTGCCGGGATCCAGGGACACAAACGGGAAACAGGACGACTGGACGGCACTATCAGCGGACACGATCATGGATCAAGGCTGCGGTTCTGGGACACGGTAAGGGCCAACCGTCAACGAACGCGCTAACAAGCCTAAATGAATCCAACGAGATGCAGTCTAATGGCGGCGAACACTTCAAGGCGGCACATCTTGAATAGTCCTATAGCTTACCATATGCACGTCATAGAGGACAGTACCAATTCACAACGTAGAATTCAAGCCGCACAGTGAGGGATTTTTAGTTTCTTTCATCCCTCTCAAATGTAAAATAGACATGACAAAACAGACATGAATAAAACTGACGTAGATAAACAGGCACGGCAAATGCACGACGCAACGACTCACCGATAGACTTCTGGGCAGGCGGCTTGAAGTCTATATCGAAGATGTTGGTCGAGGTCCCATAGACTTCTTCTTCAAGCAAAGAAAGAAACCTGTTGGGCAGAGATGTCATCAGCGTTACATTGCCATTCCCGTGTATTAACGTGAGTGTGGGCCACATACAGCGTTGAGTCGTGTGCAGGCTTATCTGCGTCCTCGGGGAAAGCACATAACACCGAAGCCTAGCTCGATTTCTGGCAATTTGAGCAATGGAGGCAATGCCCTGAAAAAATCCAAGAGAGTGATCGGACACTACTTCGATGAACGGTCACTCACCCCTCACCCAGCTCTGCACCCCACCATAAGGTGTGTACGCAATAAGCAGTGTCATTTCACGGCGTCAAACAAGACAAACAGCAACGCAGACGCGCCAGCTGACCTGGGTACGTGTGTAAGCACCAGCGTCTAACAAGACAAACAGCGCCTCGGACGCGCCAGCCGACCTGGGCATGTGTGCGAGCACCAGCGTCTAACAAGACAAACAGCGCCACGGACGCGCCAGCCGACCTGGGCATGTGTGCGAGCACCAGCGTCTAACAAGACAAACAGCGCCACGGACGCGCCAGCCGACCTGGGCATGTGTGCGAGCACCAGCGTCTAACAAGACAAACAGCGCCAAAGACGCGCCAGCCGACCTGGGCATGTGTGCGAGCACCAGCGTCTAATAAGACAAACAGCGCCACAGACGCGCCAGCTGACCTGGGCATGTGTGCGAGCACCAGCGTCGAACAAGACAAACAGCACCGCAGACGCGCCAGCTGACCTGGACATGTGTGCGAGCACCAGCGTCTAACAAGACAAACAGCGCCACAGCCGCGCCAGCTGACCTGGGCATGTGTGTGAGGATCAGCAGCCGCTTGTCCTTGGCCATCTTCTCCTTGTCCATGTCGATCTTCTGCAGGAGGCGGGCGCTGACCGTGCGCAGCAGCAGACGCAGCACCGAGCGGCCGAACACGGCCGCCGGGTCCCAGTGCGTCATCGACGTGCAGATGGTCGGCACGTGGCAGTAGCACATCCATCTGCGGCGCGGCCGACACGCGAGGTTTTCGGGGCACGTTCGCGGGGCAGAGACGTGTACCAAGTGCACACCCGTTCGAGGAAAGAAAAACCGAAACCGCGGTCGAGGAAGCCACGAAAAAAAGTGCGCAGCATCCGACTAGGGAAGGGGCTGTGGTGACGCACGTGGCGCGCGTCACAATATGCGTCAGTATTTAATGACTTCAATTGTGCTGTTCAAACGTGCTGACACGAACTGACTGACAGGTGATAAGCACCTTTCGCGGGTTTTCCTTCAGGCCGCCGCTGGCCCGAGCTTCCAGCCATCACCCACCTGGTGAAGTGTACCTTGTAGAGGGTGGTCTCCCTCAGGTTGGCGTCGGCCCGGGCTTCCAGCTATGAGCCACCTGGTGAAGTGCACCTTGTAGAGGGTGGTCTCCTTCAGGCCGCCACTGGCCCCGGCTTCCAGCCATGACCCACCTGGTGAAGTGCACCTTGTAGAGGGTTGTCTCCCTCAGGCCGCCGCCGGCCCGGGCTTCCAGCCATGACCCACCTGGTGAAGTGCACCTTGTAGAGGGTCGTCTCCCTCAGGCCGCCGCCGGCCCGGGCTTCCAGCCATGACCCACCTGGTGAAGTGCACCTTGCAGAGGGTCGTCTCCCTCAGGCCGCCGCCGGCCCGGGCTTCCAGCCATAACCCACCTGGTGAAGTGCACCTTGTAGAGGGTGGTCTCCTTCAGGTTGGCGCCGGCGTGCGCTCCGGGGGTCTCCCAGCGCCAGTGGTTCAGGTAGTGCAGGAACGCCTTGGCCAGGTCGAAGTTCAGCTGCTGCTCCTGCGGTGCCCAACAGCGGAGCTCTCAGGTGGAGCGGTGCACAGCGATCAGGACACGTTGGGAGCCGGCGACGCGCCGTCAGAGAGGGACGATTCATGCCTGCTGTTACGCGAACCATGACTTGACGCGGTGCGTGGAGACATTAGACAGCGATAATGGAGCGATGAGGTGTCCGAGAACCGACTCGTTCTAAATTTGTCGCGCGCCCACATGGGATCGTGGACGTGACCTCAGTTGCACGAACTGTCCCCGAAGCCCCAACGTCGAACTCAGCAACCAGTGCACCCTAAATCCGACTTTCAGGCCTTGCGATAAAACCCATCCCTGCCGGTCAGGGGATGACGGCCGTGCCTCAGACCGCCGGTCGTCCCGTCCCATCCCTGTACCCGTCCCCGTCCATCCCGCCCCGTCCCCGTCCCCGTCCCCGCCCGTCCCCGCCCGTCCCCGTCCCCGTCCCCGTCCCCGTCCCCGTCCCCGTCCCCGTCCCCGTCCCCGTCCCCGTCCCCGTCCCGTCCCGTCCCCGTCCCCCGTCCCGTCCCGTCCCGTCCCGTCCCGTCCCGTCCCGTCCCGTCCCGTCCCGTCCCGTCCCGTCCCGTCCCGTCCCGTGCCGTCCCGTCCCGTCCCGTCCCGTCCCGTCTATGGCCGGCGCACCACCGCCTGCTACCTTGGGACTGGCGCTGAACCGGGCCTGCACGAAGTTGGTGACGGCGCGCGCGATGGTGGGTGTCTCGAACGGCGGCCGGCCCAGCGGGCCCTCGATCACCGGCTCCGTCATCTGCAGGATGCTCTTCCGCAGCAGCTG